TAAAGAGTTGGCACAAATCATCTTATCTCAGTGGTTAAAGTAATTATTTTTCTTAAATTTACGGATTTAAACACTATTGTAATCGTTTAGCTTAATAAAAAAATATAAAGAGTTAATAAACACTGTTTTAACATAAACTAATGACCGATAATTTTGACGAATTTGGAAAAGGAATAATAACAGGAGAGGAAGGAAGCGATGATTATGCACCAACCAACTCATAAATAAAAATTTCAACAATCTTTGGGCCACCCCATCACCATCTTATGTTCAGAGAGATAGATAATTGGGACACGTGTATTGTATCCATTGAAAGATCGCAAAACCTAAATTTATTGGTTTTCAATTTACAATAATAGAGGTAGAAACAACATATTAGCGACTATTTTCATATAATGGGGTAAGGGTAGGTAGGGTAGTATGTAGTCTCCAACGTTAGGTTGAGAGCAACTTCCGTGGAAGACCTCCGTTATGAATTACCCTCAGTGAGACTCGATCCCACGACCACAAGATTAAGAGCCTTGCGCTCTACCAACTGAATTAGATGGGCAATTTAGAGGTAGAGAACAACATTCCTATTTATTAAAAAGAGTAAATTTACATTTAATACTTAAACTATTAATTTTTATTTGTTTTAATACTTAAACTATCAATTTTTTTAAAATTAAATCTAATTTTTAGTTTTATTTTAATACCTCTTAATTAAAATTTTAATGGCATTGCATTTTTTTATTGGTACATTACATCATTCATTACTCAACTATCTTCTCTATTATATTATGGTACTAAAGTTTACTTTTTTTTAATTTAACTATTCAACTTTCAAGTTGCTCCTATTTTAATCACTTTAATTTACTTTATTAATAATTTTGTAACATGACATTTTTATTTTTATTATTTTATAAATATATAATTAAAAAAAAAATTGAAAGTTAGAATGATTAAATTATGAGTAATTTGAAAGTTAAATAATTAAATAAAAAAACTTTAATGACTAAAATAGAGTGGAAGATAGTTGAATGGTGAATGATACAATTTACCCATAAAAAGATGTCACATGCCTGTTTTTAACAGTGATATATTAAAATGAAATAAAAACTAAATATTAAGTATGATTTTAAAAGAATAGAATAACAATATGACTCGATCAATTCAACTATGACAATTACGTTGGTTTATCCTTCACACGCTCTCACTCTTCTATCACTCGCAGCTGCCAGATAACTTGTGGGTGGAGACGGCTGATGACGAGTTACTGGAGGTCGATTTGTTCAAAGTTTAATAAATATTCGATTGAGTTTGAGTTTTTAATGAGTTAAAATAAATATTTGATATTTGATTAAAAAGCTCGTGAACAACACAAAAATATAATATATTAAGATTTTAATTTTTTAAAAAATTATTAATAACATTAACATTTATGTGTTAATTTTTAAAAATATATAACATTTTATGTATTTAAAGTCCGAACTTGAGTTAAGTTTGAAGATAATTAAGTTTATTTTTTTTTCATTTCGAGATTTTACGAACTTCAATTCATGATTTTGAATTTGAGTCAAACTTAAAAATTTTAGATTCATAAATTTTTTAACCAAATCGAATTTTTTTAATATTTTCAAATTAAATCTAACTTAACAATAGTCGAATTCTACTCGACTCATTTACGAACTTAGGAGGAGGCTCGTGGTCATGGAAGGCTATGATAACATGAAATCATAACGTCATTGAAAGCGCGCTTGTGCTTGCCAGCTAAAAACTATAACCGGCCACCGCCCACACCCTTAAAATGGCCATGGTCGATGGACCTACCAATCCACTACTAGGAACTATACTTTTCACATTAAACTCTCTTATCGGAGTTGGTATTAGAATATCAATATTCACGTCGTTTTTAATTTGTTAAACTAGTCTATTGTAAGCAACTTTATGTAGCTTTGTTGTAGCATCAACTGAAGATGATTTCAATGGTGATTTGTCCATGCTTAGCTGGACCATAGTAGCGAAAGAGAGAGCCACTACGAATTCCAGAAAAAAAAACCATCAACTTTCATGGCCAAACCCAGTAATCTCTCCAAGTCTCCAAGTGAACCCAGTTTCTTCAAAAGCATTCTCTCTTTCTTCTGTGACCTTCCATGGATTCTCAAAAGCTTCACCTTTTAGCTTTAATCTTCCTTTCACTCTTTTACTTATCTGAACCTTTCGTCCCTGAAAATAGCTTCCTCCTCAACTGTGGATCAAACGCCAACGCTTCACTTTATAATCGTGTTTTCATAGCCGATTCAGCTAAGCCCAGTTCTGTTTCACTCACTGACAAAAACCATATCCGGATTCTCCCATCTTGTACCGTACGGCCCGGGTTTTCACCGCCGAGTCGAGCTACGAGTTCAGCATCAAGCAAAACGGGACGGGGTCTCACTTGGTACGCCTCCATTTCTCTCCGTTTCGAGCTCAAAATTTCGACTTGTCTTCTGCGAAATTCAATGTTTTGGCTAATGGCTTCATGTTACTGCGTGATTTTAGTGCTCACGATATGGTGCTAAAAGAGTTCTTGTTGAGAATCGATGGTGAAGCTTTTGAAATCATGTTTAGTCCTCTGGGTGATTCTGGGTTTGCTTTTGTTAGTGCAATTGAGGTGTTTTCAGCTCCAAAAGACTTCATAATCGATGATGGAGCTAGGTTGGTTAATGGTAATGGAATTGAAAGTTACAAGAACTTAACATCACAGGTTTAGAGACTGTTCATAGGGTTAATGTTGGTGGATTGAAATTGACTCCTTTTAATGACTCTTTGTGGAGAACTTGGATCCCTGATGATGGTTTCCTCGTGTTCGAATCTGCCGCGAAGAAAGCCGGCACCACTCATGTACCGAATTATCAGGATGGCGGCGCGGCCCGTGAAATAGCCCCGGACAATGTTTATATGACTGCACGAGAGATGAACCGAGATAATTCAACGTTGAATGGTATATTCAATGTCACTTGGGATTTTCCAGTAGGTTCACTTGGTGATCCACACTTGGTTAGGTTGCATTTCTGTGATATTGTTAGTCCTGCCCTTAATCAGCTCTACTTCAATGTGTATATCAATGATTACTCTGCCTATAGGGATCTGGATTTGTCTATGCTTACGGTTCATGTACTCTCGTCTCCGGTCTACTTAGATTTCGTCGTGGATTTGGATGATTCGGGGGTTATTCGTGTTAGTGTTGGACCTTCAGATTTGAGCACTCCTTCGAAAATTAATGCAATTCTAAATGGGGCTGAGATCATGAGGCTGGTGAATCCTATAGGTTTGCATCCCAAGTCTAAGAAGAAAAACACTTGGATTTTGGTTCTTTTTATTGTTGGTGGCTTTGTTATATGTTGTTTAGCTGCGGCTGTAGTTCTGCTTCTGTTTAAATGCAGGAAGAAGAGAGCAAAACCGCCACGAAGTGTAGAGAGTGCCGGTTGGACACCGCTGCGCGTTTATGGGGGCAGTTCATATAGTAGAATGTCCGAAGGAACTGCTACTATGTCCCCCGGTCCTAATGGTAGCTTGAAAATCCCATTTCTTGACATACAAGCAGCAACTAACAATTTTGACAAGAGTTTGATTATTGGAATGGGTGGATTTGGTATGGTTTACAAAGGGGTACTTAAAGACAATACTAAGGTTGCTGTGAAGCGATGTGTCCCGGGGTCAAGGCAGGGTCTCCCGGAGTTCCAGACCGAGATAACCGTTTTCTCAAAGATCCGTCACCTGCATCTTGTTTCACTCGTTGGATATTGTGACGAACAGTCGGAAATGATACTGGTCTATGAGTACATGGAAAATGGGCCATTGAAGAATCATTTATATGGCTTAAAACATCCTCCGTTGTCTTGGAAGCAAAGGCTTGAAATATGCATCGGCTCGGCTAGAGGTCTTCACTACCTTCATACTGGTTCAGCACAAGGTATCATTCACCGTGACATTAAATCTACCAATATACTGCTTGATGAAAATTTCATGGCCAAGGTTGCCGACTTCGGTCTCTCAAGATCCGGTCCATGTCTCAATGAAACCCATGTAAGCACTGGGGTAAAAGGTAGCTTTGGTTATCTTGATCCCGAGTATTTCCGAGACGACAACTTACTGATAAATCAGATGTTTATTCATTCGGGGTTGTGCTTTTCGAGGTTCTTTGTGCTAGGCCCGCTGTCGATCCATTGCTTGCTAGAGAGCAGGTGAACTTAGCAGAATGGGCAATGCAGTGGCTGAAAAAAGGCATGCTCAGCAAGATTATCGATCCCAACCTTGCAGGACAAATAAAGCCTAGCTGTTTGAAGAAATATGGAGAAACAGCTGAGAAATGCTTGGCTGACTATGGTGTCGATAGGCCGACTATGGGTGATGTCTTGTGGAATCTGGAGCACGCCCTTCGGCTTCAAGAGTCGGGGCCGGAAGAACCATGCGAAGACGGCAACATGAACGGAATGGATTATACGGCACCTAGTATTACCACAGCTGGGCCATCTGGCAATGCTGGAACAGCGAAAGATGATCCTATTAGTAGTTCAGACATGACAACAGGCCAAATATTTTCTCAATTGATGACAAATGAAGGCAGATAGTTGACAGAGATACAATCAATGTCATTCTCATTCCCAAATTTTCTTATATTTATGTATACGCATTGAAAGTTTCACCCTCAATATTTCTTCCATTGTAGCAAAGTGCCACTCTTATGTGGTAATTAAAAGTAAAAGGTTAATGGATGAGGGTACAAAATAGTCACCAAACTTTTAGTACACTTGCATTTGGTCACCAAATTTCTAAAACTAGCAATACACTCACTTTTATGGATGTACCATACTATATAATTACAATGTTGTTATTTATGACCGTGTTATAGGTGCCCCAAAGTCTAAGCCATGTTATTTGTAATGCATTGAGATGGTTAACCAAATCCATTCAAGCCTTAAAAAATGTCTTCAAAATCATTCACGTCGATAAAAATGAAAAAGATGGGAAAGTAACAATGCCAAGAAACAAACCATTTGACATTATGGTCAACACGAGAAATACATAATGCCACATAGTTCGATACGGAAGAAGCAACAAGAACAGAAGACTGACAAAGTCCTGACAACTATGCACAGATCCATTTATTCAGAACCATGAGCAAAGACGGCAAACATCATGGTAAGTTGTAACATAAACACCAAAATGATTGGCTTAGCCTCTCAGCATTCTGTTGAGGACGATAGCGTCTACCTCTGTATCCTCTCTGATCTGCAGTGCAGAAACAGCCTGTGCTGCGATAAGATCAGTCGAAAGTCCATCATTTCCCCAGCCATTACTCTCAAAACACGACGCATGTAGATTCCTTCCACAAGCTCCATATGAGAAGGACCAGCCACCGTTTCCAAACGCAGACCACTCGCTTCCACCTCTGTATGCATTAGTGACCCACCCGTCACGATTTGTGTTTGCCTGGTGGGGAAGGCAAGCTCCCCCTCCACCCATAAATAGATTGAAATTACTGCCACAATCCCAACGGTTGAACCCCTCTTCCTTGTTCAGCATAATCTCACCAGAGTCACTGGAGTCTTCACCAAGGACATGCAAAGCAACAGCCTCAGCAATTGCAGCACTATCTTCATCAAGCCTCTGCTGCTTTTCCTTCTTCTTCTGCTTCTTCTTCTCTAGTTCAGAGCGGATGGCAGCAGAAGTTGCAAGGGCTTTCTCCAAACGCCTCTTCTTCTTTTCAGCCTGCTTAATACGATCCAACTCATCCTTCACCTGCTTCTTTTTTGCTTTTCTCACTACTGGTTGAACTTTGTTGCACCCCTTGTTATCCATTGAAACTTGAAGCTTTTAAACCCAGACTTCAGTTCAGATTTTTTCACTATCAAAAGGTTCTAGATCATATACATTTCCCAATAAAGCTATGTTTTCCTCACTTTTTTCCTTAAAAGAAAAACTTTGATGCTATGTATTTCTAAATAATTCTCTTATGGGAACTAATATGATTATATAAACTCAAGGCTACACAAACTCAGGCCTGCAAGAATACCTCATCTTACGGACGATGCAATCCCAAACAGAAACAACGGGAGAACAGAGAATCGCGGAATGGTATGCATTCACAGGCTCATCCCTTGGCAACATCCTTCCTAATTTCCCACGACCCTTGCTTCTATCCATCTTGTGCACACTGATAGAACCAATAAGCTTATCCCCGTTGAAGACCGTCAATAACACTATTTCAGTTCAAACAAATCACATGGCCCTCACCACTGTAGTGAAAGAGGAATAATATTTTAGTCATCAGAACATGAATCTAAACTTCATAGAAAAATTACATTGACCATCATGCATGGATATAGAGGCATATAATGATATAATACAAACAAACATAAATTGCAGTGTTTGATAATAAAAGCTCAAGCAGGAAACTTCTTGGAAAGAACAAACAGATTTAACTATCCAATTGCTTAACCTAATTAAAACAATTCAGCATCCATAACCTAATTAAACAAAGGACATTTACTTGAACCAGTCCATGTTAGAATGGAAAATTAAGGTCACCTTCAATAAATACTATCATAAGCAAGTGAGATGAAGAAAATTTCAGAAAATTTAAAATCTTTGCAAATATGTCAAATGCATTAAATGAAACAAGAACAAATAATCCTAAAATTATCAGATTGCTTAACCTCCGAACGATCCAAGTCGACAACAGAAAAAGAACTGAATATTAGAGTAAAGAGCTTAGTCCGCAGCTGGTCGTTGTAGTTTGTTGGAATATGTTAGCCTAGTAGTTATTGGAGAGCTGTAAATAAACAGTTAGCTAGATAAGCTAGACACACACTGAAGGCTTTGTATTTCTTAGGTAATCTGATTCAAAAACAAATCAGTTTTTCTCAGAGATGTTTTCCCTACGTTTTCTCTCTGATTTACAGTATTCTCCCACTGTTTCTTGGACATTCTTGAAAATTCACGAGAGTTACTCACACTGACGAGGATAAGAATTTATATAATTAGTAGAGTTTCTTCCATTTCACCATGTTATATTCATTCGCAATTTTCATTTTTCAATCCTATTTCCCTCAATTTCTCGCAAACCAAACAGAAGCAACAACTGTATCTATTCTATTTGTTTGTATTAAAACCTAAATTTAGTTTGAATTTGCATAGTACCGTCATTGAAATCACGCGATCCACTTCATCAAGATGCACAAAAAATACAAAAATTAAAAAAGAACTAATTTGAAGCATTAATCGCTACCAGATCCAAATATCTATTCTTGAGAAAAAAAAATCAATAATCAATGGAAGAAACTTCACCGCCAAAAGAATCAAAGAGAGAAGATTTAGATGAAGAATCTAACCTTATCCAGAAAGATATAAAGTTAGACGGATCACCACCGCTCATTTAGAAATAGCCAAAACAAGGAATATAAAGGGATTATTAGTAACGAAAAAGAACAAATGTCGTTTGGCAGCAGAGAAAATCGCAAAGAGAGTGAAAATAAGGCGAGAGCTGGGTTAAAATAACCGGGCGGACTCAGTGAGCAGCAAGCGAACAGAGAAGGGTAGTCGTTGTCTTCAGCCAATGGTAATTCAACACGTGGAAACTTTAAAGGGTACAACTAGAATATCTGACTTTTTCTCCTCAGCTGTTTTTGGGTTGGGTACAGTGTGAACATAAAGTCTGCGGTGTCATGGGTGATATCACGCCACGTGGGGACTATTGCGTAATGGACCGTCCCTGAGCATTATGGCCCAAACTTGATTAGAAATAACAATCGTCCGATTAGATTTTCTCCAAATTTCGACGGACGGGATTATAGATCTGGAAACGAATTATGACACGGAAAAGAGTGGAGTTTCGTAAAGAACAACTCCAAGTCTCCGAGGGTAAAACCGTAAAGATAGACGGACACCACAAGGAGTCTCTGAGGGTAAAACCGTAAAATACGCGGACACCACAAGGAGTCTGAGAGTAAAACCGAAAAAGATACGTAGACACCACAAGATTAAAATATAAATAAGGGTAAAATACGTATTGTACTTAAACTATCAGTTTTAGTTCATTTTAGTACCTAACTTTCAATTTTTTTGACAATCATGCCTAATGTTTTAGTATTTAAACTTTCATTTTTTTCAAAACTTAATGTTAAATTTTGAACAGTGATACTATAATAAAATAAAATTTAAACTTTAGGTATGTTTTTAAAAATAAATAAATCTTTAAGTATTAAAACAGACCAAAACTAATAGTTTAGGTGCTAAACACGAAATTTACCCTATAAATAAAGATATATTGTATTTAAATTTTAAATGAAATAAATTGATGTCAAAGAATCTTTTCTATTATAAATATATGCGATATTAAATCTGAACTAATATTAATAATTATATTTAAAAAAATCAATGGATCGATTTAATTATTCAATAGTTCAAGTGTTTGGGCTTCAAAATCTGGGTTTAATGGATTGAACATTATGCTATCTTGTTGTTCTTCGAAGAGAGTTATTTCAGGGAATCAGTGATCTAAATCATTTCGTCGTAAGCCCAGTCAATATTTATGGGCTTCAACGTACATATTAATTTTTGGGCAAAATACCGATGAGGCCACTAAATTAATAATTTTTATTTATTTGGACACTGAACTAAATCATTTATCAATTAGGTCACAAAACTTTAAATTTAGTTTCAATCAAGCCATCTATTGTTAAACGTTAACAGAACTATTGATATGATGGTTAACCAAATTGACTACAAGGGAAGGGATAGGTCCAAGCTTGCTGGACACCACCACCACCAAGATGACTGAAGTTAAACACAGGCGGTACGAGAAATGGAACTGATGGAATAACTATTTACACATTACATTAATTAAGTCTTAATTTTAATTAAAAATAATTTAATAAATTTAATCTATTAAGATAGTGATACATGTCACCATCTAACCGAAGTTCTTTTTAACTTATGACGACAAGATATGATTTGGAATTATAAAACAAAAAGCAATATTTAGATGTTGGAATTCCTTCTCTTATTTGTCGAAACGAAATTGCATTCACCAATGACTTGTTTAAAACGCAACAAAATACTTTAACGATTTGGACATTTTTGCAACGTTGAACAACCGGATTTGAAAGCTTCAAGTTTTGTCCAACTGTGGGTAGTGGACTTTGACGTTTAGTATTAGGCGGTGCAGTGGAGAAACCCAACTTTCAACATTCCACGTTCGTCAAACAATATATATATATATATGATGCCCATCATTTAAAGCCACGTCCATAAAGAAAACAAATATATAGAAATCAGAGTTTATGCATTTGAAGTTGTGGATTCTTACTAAATTTAAATTCGATCTGCATGATCTTATCAAATTAAATTAAGAGTAAAATATACAAATGTTCCCCCGGTTATAAGGTATTACTCTATTGAGTTCATCAACTATTAAAAGTTACAAAACGATCATTCGACTATTTATTATGTTTCAAACTCGTATTTTTTCGTTGAAAATTGATAGCGATTTGAGCTGGATATTATCATGTTGACAGAGATATGATAGTCGTTTGAAATTCTGAGATCGTATTATATTATATATCAGTCAGTAGGTTAACGTCCAACTCAAATTACTATAATTTTTTAGCATAGAAAGGACGAGTTTGGAATACAATTAATAGTCGGATAATAATTTTATAATTTTTAATAGATAAGAGACTTAAAAGAACATCGTATAATTAGGAGATCATTTTATAATTTTTATTAATCATAGTATTCAATAAAATAATATCATATAGTTAAAGAATTATTTATGTACTTTATCCTTAAATCAAATTAAAATTGATAAAAATGAAATATTAAGTCATAATATATTTACATGTCCTTTTGTTGACTTTTTTCAGTAATAAATTATTCTAAAAAAATTTAATTTTTAATAAAAATTACATAAAAAATTTAAAAATATTTTTTCAAGAGAGTCGACCACCTCTCCCCTGCCGCCTAAGTCAATTTCCGACATGCAATTAGGTTTATCCATCTTGTCCTCGTCGACCTTGTTTCTGGCCGTCCTGTCTAAAGCGAGGCCTAACCCTTTTGGCAATTTGGTCGAAGACAGAAAGTACTTAATGGCGATGTGATTAGTTACATCTTTGAGAATGTAAATCATTTTTTATACTAATATACTAAAAAGCTAAACTATAACTTTAATATTTAAATTATTAATTTTATTCTATTTTAGTATTTAAATTTTATTTTTTAAATTATATATAATGTTTATTTTTTTAGTTTAGTACATCATCGTTAAAAAATTAACATATTTAATATCTAAACTAACAGTTTTGATCCGTTTTAATCCCTAAACTTTAAAAAAAATCAAAACTTAAAGTTAAATTTTTAATGATGTAATTAAATAAAATAAAAATTAAACTTAAGATATAATTTAAAAATAATAATGAATTATGAGGGCGAACTTGATATGACATAATTCACCGACATAATTAACAGGATATGACATAAAAATTTATGTTAAATGGATAAATTTGAACTTATAAACTTTTAGGAGGGCGAACTTGAACTTATAAATTTTTAAGAAGGGTGAAAACAAATTTTTAATAAAAAATACATAGAAAAAATCTAAAATATATGATAATTTTATATTTTTAAGGGACAATATAAGTTCATTCATGATAATTAATGTATTTGATTAATTCGATTTTTTCGATTAAATCATGCCTTTCGTTATTTGAAGAACTCAAAACGTTACGATTTGTTAATAAGTAGGGTCAGGGATGGACTTAGGCGGTTGGATGAGGGCGATTGTTGCTCTAAAGTTTTAAAATGATTATATATTTTTAAATTTTTTCTATGTATTTTTTATTAAAAATATAATTTTACATAATTTTACCCTATTAAAATTTTATAAGTCTATATTCGTTCTCCTAACATAAAATTGTGTGCGTAGAATATGGTATTCAATAAGTTATAAGAGATTGTACAAACTTTTTAAGAATTCATTAAAATGGTGGGAAAAATAATATGCACAATATTTGGTCTTTCATAGGAAAAGAAAGGTCAAGAAAATTATACACGTGATCCCCCTAGTGGCTAGTAGGAAAACAAAGAGCGACAAAACCAAAAATCATTTTCCATTTTGCAGTATAATTCTACTGCGATTCATCAACTCTTTTGCTTGATTTGATTCTCCTGTTGATTTCTTTCTCCAGTTCTTCAAGTCCTCCCACTTCCTCCAATTCCTGTCCCCCATACAAAAACGAGTTCATATTTTATACATCGATTATACAATATTAAGATGGGTACAACATAGGAAAAACGATCTTCCTAATTCAATTTACTCCATTCACAAACTTCATAATTCAAATCCCTGGCCTTGTTTAAGATATTTATTGTCTCATCCTACTAGATCGGTACTTATTATTATTTGATTATTGATAATTCGAGTTAAAATGAATAAATAAGAGATTTAGACAGTTAAGTCACCTTGGGTCCTAGAAACAGCCCATATGGGACACCTTGGAATTTTTCTGAATGATGCAGCTGAAAATGCCAAACATGAAATCCAGATAAGATCAGAACTAGAATAAAAAAAAACCCAAATAAACAAACAAATAAGGTCAGAACTAGAAGAGAATTTTCAAATAAATTGTCTTATTTATTTATTATAATAAGAAGTCTAAATTGTGGTGCAAAATGAATTAACCTGGTGAGCCGCAGCAACCTTCCTGAAGTAAGGGACGTTGGCAATAGGCCCCACTTGGAATCTCTTATGCACCAGACCGTCGTGGACGAACATGTAAGCCATTCCGAACACAGTAATTCCAAGTCCCTGCACCCAATAAAAAAACATTATTTATGAATATAACTATATTTTATTAAAGATAAATTATAAATTTATTATCATATCATGATCTTTTTATTGTCAGCAGAGGGATGATTAAAAGAATCTGATGTATAAAATTTAGCGATTAAATTAAAAATAATTAAAAGAATAATTAGTAAAATAATAGAGATAATAAAGTTTAATGATTAAATTTATAATTATTCATTAAAAAGTAAAATAAAAAAGCCATGTTATAAGAAAATTTGAGTAACCAAAAAAACCTAATATATTAAATTTAATAAGAAAATTAAAAAGTGAAATAAGAGAGAATAAATTTAATTACTAAATTTTTATTTTATCCATTTATTAAAATACAATTTATAATAGAAGGGGTATTTGTGTAACTTTATTACTAAGATTGAACATAGGAATGGGTATAGGTCGGGTTTCGGCCAACCCGACCCGAAAATTTTACATCTTTCACTAGACCCAACCCGAAAATATATATCTTTCATCCAATCCGAACCGACATTTTGAGATAAAATATGATCCCAACTCGACCCGAAATAATAAAAAATATTATTTTTATTTAATAAAAATAGTGATTTAATCGAAAAATAATATATATAGAAATATTATTATAATTATTCTTAAATATATA